TGGTTCCATAATTTAGCTATTGTGAATTGCACTGCTATAAACATTGGTATGCCTGTGTCACTATAGTATGCTGATTTTAGTTCTTTTGTATAAATTCAAATAAATGGGATAGCTGGGCCATATGGTAGTTCCATTCCTAGGTTTTTGAAGAATCTCCATACTGCTTTCCAAAGTGGTTGTACTAATTTTCAGTTTCACCAACAATGTGTAAATAAAGCTTTGTCCCCACGTCCTTGCCAGTTATTATTATTGTTTGTATTCTTAATGATTACCATTCTAATGGAGTGAGATGAAATCTCAGTCTAGTTTTGGTTTGCATTTCCCTGATTGCTAAGGATGTTACATACTTTTTCATATATTTGTTGGCTGTTTGTATTTCTTCTTTTGAGAAATGTCTGTTTAGATCATTTGCCCATTTTTTGATGAGTTATTCATTTTTCTGATGTTAAGTTTTTTATGTTCTTTATATATTCTAGGTATTAGTCCCCCATCAGAAGAGCAGTTGGCAAAGATTTTCTCCTTGAGTCATTCAGACCTAGTTACTATACAGTTTTACTGCTGTGGTTGCTATTGTGAGGCCTAACTGTAGTACATGTAAGAAAAATAAAAGGCACAGGTGAATATCCACATGTAGTAATACTTCTTGTGGCCATACAATAAATTAAGTGGCCCTAACAATCTGCTAAAATGGTACTCAGTCTGGTGAGGACACAGTAGTTACACTATGGGCTTCTCTCTTCATTTCACATATTCATTGGGAATGATCCTTTCCTATGAGGTTTGCTCAGCTGGTTGAATCTACAATTTTTAGGCCAAATAGCACGAAGTCAAACCAGTGGCAGTTTGTTGACCTATGCCATTCATGTCAAAGCCTCTGAAGTCTGTTATTTTAGGCTTTTTTGACAACTGGATCAGAGCAATTCTTAGGCATTATCCAACGCATTGCAACTGACACAATCATGGCTTAAAATCCTAAACAGCACAAAATCTACAGGGATAGGATCTTCAGCTAAAGGAAGCTATTATCCAGACAACTTATAAGGAAAACAAAGCAGGTAGTTGAGAAAGAAATTGAAAGAGAAGAAGCTGAGAATACAATTTAGAGAGACTCAAAATAGATAGTATTTACTTGTAAAAGGAAATGGGAACAATTGATGCTATCACAAAGCAGCCAAGCCATGGAAGAATGAACACAATTTGTAATTTCAGTGAACAAAGGGGAAAAGAACAAGTGACTTTCGGTTCCTGTCATTCTCCTGTCATCTCCTCTCACTCAAATGTGGACTCATTAGTCCACAAACACTGGGTCTAATTGAACACTTTTGGGCCAGACTTGAATGTGTAAATTAACAGATTTTTATTGCATCGTGTCTGACCTGATTCATCTTTCCTTTCAATGTATTTAATGGGTGAATCCATGGTTTCTACTAACTTCTGAGGACAGGATATAAAAATATTGTCTCCTTCAAGTCTTCAACTATCTAATAATCATTTGTTTTGCTTACATTATATATGTGCTTATCAACATAGAACACTAAGATAATTAAGAAAGCACTTTTATATATTATCTTGTTTGCTCCTAATGACAAACCCATGAGACAGTTTTGACAAATCTACCATTACCATTTTATTGATTAGGATACTAAGGCTCAAAAGATGTCATGACCTTTCTGTGGCCATAGAACCAGGAAGAGAAAGATCCAGGGCAATACTCAGGTCCTCCTGTGCCTTTCATCCATTTCTATTGACAGCACACTCCCTTATTCTTTGAAACACTTTTCCCTATAAATACTAGGATATTGCAAGGGTAAAATATGGAAGGGCTTTATAGCTGTTGCATTACCATCATGGAACTATAAATTATTTTTTAATGCATGTGTCATAACTGAAAACTATCTTTACATAGACTATCACAGAAAACTAATATGCATAGCCCATGATATATTGGGTTATAAGCAATTAAGGTGAATTCTAAAGTAAAAATAAGCAATGGTTGTGTTTCAGATTTACTGCATTTAGAGAATTATTTTTTCTAGTTTCTAGGGAATTTGCTGCTACATCCAGTCTGCTGAGGAACCAACATCCTACTCCTACTATCTTTTTTTTTTTTTTTTTTTTTAGCTTACTGGCCAGTAACTACTAACAAAGTTTTTCCAGAGATGCATAGAAGGGCCAAAAGACACCGGGTATGACTATAGCAAGAAAATAAATAGAAAGGATGTCATAAATTTTTTAAAAAGTATTTACATTTGATAGTTACTTTGCTGGGAGTCTTATTAAAAAAAGAAGATATTGGATTTGATGTCTGATTTTGATAATAGTGAGCATCCTTGTAAGATAAACACTTATTTTGTCTTACTAGAGTTGCTAGGGCAGTGTCTATATGTTCCAGATATCTACTTTATGCATCTGAATTTTATTAACAAGTAACTTATATTAGCAAATGAACTTGTAATTTATTAGCAAATAAAATAAGAAAGAATGCTTTATTGCCCACACCTTTCCCTCTGTTTCAAACATATGAAGCAGTTTTATTTCTTTGTTCTTTAGGACTTCGATAGTATTTGAAAAGGGCTTTGTAAAAGTGCTTTAATAACTCAGAATTAGATCATGCATCTGTTGATAAACACTTCAAGTGTTAAGAACCAAGGGTTACAGTCCCAGAAGCTGGAAAGGCTGAGGCAGGAGGATCGAAAGTTCAAAGCCAGCCTCAGCAATTTAGCAATAAGAGCAGCTTAGAGAAATCCTGTCTCAAAATTTAAAATAATAATTTAAAAATAATTTAAAAAGGGCTGGGAATATGGCTCATTGGTTAAATGTCCCTGGGTTAAATCCCCAGTACCACAAAACAAAACAAAAAACCCCAAAACCAAGGGTCACTATCTGGCTTGTAGAATGAGAATATTTGATTTTCACTTAAACAGAATAAAGTCTTGCAACAAACCAAAAATCATTATTCTAGAAAGTTGAATTCTGTCTTTAAACCAACCCATTTGTCTTTAATCAGATATCTGGATTGCTTTGGATATGACTTTTATCCAGCAGCTCCATTCTTAAAATAAACATACAAGAAACCCAGAATCACAATAATAAACATGAAAACCCTGTTCTGTAAAGAAAAGGAATTGCCTATGAGATTTCATGCCTCAAAGCTTTAGAGGGCTACAGAGTAATAGAAACTCAGATGTGAGTTCGCTTGACTTTAAACTGACCATCCTGACCATCTCTCAGACCAAGGCCAAGGTTGTGCATCTGTGCTTGATAATTTGCCCCATGTAGAGATTTGGGGTTGCTGGATAAGAAAGCTGAAATGAAAGAGAATTCTGAAATCAAATGACTAAGCCCTGGCCTGGTGCTCAGAAACCTAGTTTAGACCTCCTCAGCCTATGTGGAATCATGTGAAACTCTCTGTTTCTCAGTTTCCTTCTTGGTAAAATGAAGAAGTTGTTACACCAGTGTTTTCCAATGTCTTTTAGCAGTTGAACAATGTTTTGCAATGAATTCACATATAAGCCCAATGTAGAAAATAGAAATGCAGAAGTGTTTGCCTTGTGTGGTAAAATTGGAGCCTCACCCACTTGGCCTTTCTTTAGTGTTCAGAATGATTGCCAAGATCTTTCTGCAAAGGACAGTTGAGAATGTATCTAATACTTATTAGGGCATAAAAATTCTAAAAAGCTAAATAATTTTAAATGTCCTGACCACCTACAGTACATAAATACAATGACACAGACAGGTGGTGATTTGCTTTAAAATAACACCAGAAGTTTAAAGTGTGTAGGTTTAAAGAAGTGATTTCCAACCATTTGTCAAAAAGGTTTATTTTAAATTCTCTCCAAGGCTCAGATCATGCAGGTCAGGTAAAGAGTCTTCTGACAATACCCAGTATCTCCCAAACAGGTATGAGATGACATGTGATTGAATAATTGCTAATAAGTCTAGCCTCTTCTCTGTTCCAACCCTCAAAATTTTTTGAATATGGAGAAGAATAGGTATGTTCGCTGAGTATAAAAGGGAGAGGGTGCTACTTTTCTCATCTATTTCTGGGAAGCTGTGAAGATGAGAATGGGGAAAGGCCCACTGATGTTAGTAACTGACTTAGAAAGGCAAGCTTTGGATTCTACAGGCAGATAATGGCTGGAAATTGAGCAATCCTTAAAACAGTTTTAAAAGTGTGGATTCCAGATGTTCTCATTTGATAAATTATATTCAAATAGACCCCTGTCTCCATTCATCATTTGCAATGTCTTTACTTTATTCTTTTCTTCCATGATTGCAGGATTCTTTCTAACTTATCAAAACCCTGGCATAATACTCAMATTGCCCTCAACTGTACTCTCTTAGGACTGCCCGCCATGTGCATTCAAAGTCATATTCAAATATGCTGAAGAATCCTATGGCTGTAGAAAAGAAACCATATTTCTCACATTCTTACAAGTGAAGCCTCCCTTTGAACCTGTGAAGAAATGTTCCATGAATCATGAATGAAGTATTGAGCATAGGAATGCAACTTAGTCTATCACCGATTGGTCGTCTTTGATGATCAAAATGAAGAGGGTTTCTTCCTTTAGCCAGAGGCATTGAAATGCTGGAAAAGAGCCTTTGTAGCTCCTGAAGGTCTTGTTCAAGAGCAAATCATCTGTGAATTGTGAGGAGACTGTATTGCTGCTTCCTAGAAAGAGCATGGTGTATGCATATGTTTTGATTCCCTCCTGGTGTGGTGTGCATTGTAAAGGGAACTTGGCCAGGCTGGCCATAATGGAGAAGAGCATTTTTACTGGAGYAATTTTTCAATTAAATAGCCAAAAACCTTCCTCTATTTGCTTTGCTTGTATTTTAATACTAACCAAAGCCTGTTTAAAATTCTTGTGGCCAATATTTATTATACTGTGGTTCTACTCTAGTATGTAAAATGGTTATTAAGTACTGTGGTTATAATTCACTTGGAGAGCCCTGTAACATTTTTACTGGCTTGTTCTCTTCTATGTTCCTATTCATAGGATATCAATAACGAGAGTGACAGCTGACATTTCTCTTGCTAAGAGGTCTGTCCTAAATAATCCCAGCAAGAGAGCAATAATTGAACGTTCAAACACCCGGTCCAGCTTAGGTAAGATATTCAAATGTGGTACTTTTCTATCCTGTACTTTTAGACTATCATGACAYAGGATGCATTTGTGAATGTCTTTTCCAGTTTGCTCCCTGGTCTGAATGAGGAAGTGCCAAGTAACTGAAAAGAATGCTATCATGGACATGAAGGGAGCAGAGTTCTGCAGCAGCCAGAGCCTGTTCTGTCTCTTTCAGCTCTAGTCAATTAGCTAATTGGTAGTCTGGTTGGAATCCTCAACGACTCCCTGGTCTGTTACTGCCTAAAAAACGGGAAACCACTCATCTCTGTTTTGTTTGTTTGTTTGTTTGTTTGTTTTCTCATCTCTGTTTTGCCTAAGCTTCTCAATGAAGCTAAGGGTAATTGTCATACCTGACTCACAGCTGACACAAAAGGAAATCCTATGTTCAGCCTTCTCAGATCTTTAGAAGAAATAGATAATGGTGCTCTTGGTGTTGCTTCTGTTGCTAGCTGATAGTACACAGAATAGTCACACCTTGAAGTAATGGCAACCACCATTAATAACATGCAGGGAATTCAAATGTGTCTTTTCTGGGGTACTAGTGAGAAAGCATCCTAAAATTCACCATGACGGAGAAGAGCCAAAGGCTGTGGATGTGCAGGGCTATGGATAGAAGGGAGTCCATGCTGCTGGTGAATCACGTTTATTCATCCTGAAAGCATGTTCTTTTTCTCCGTGACTGTCAAGAGTGGTGCAGAATCTTTCCTCGAATTTTCTTTTGCATTCACATTCTAAGGGCAACTTGTTTTAACTAGGAAAGATGCTACTCCTCCATGCTGCTGAAATGGGCTGTACAGAGGATAGAAAACTAAATAATAAAAACACCAACAATAATAGTAACTAGCGTTTCCAGCTGCATGTCCTAATGTCTCATCAAGAATCCACCAAAGGGGGAGTGGTGGAGTGCTCGCCTAACACAGGCGAGGCCCTGGGTTCAATCCTCAGCACCACATAAAAATAAATTAATTAAAGATATTGTGTCCAACTATAACTAAAAAATAAATTTAAAAAAAAAGAGAGAAAAAAGAATTCACCAAAGGCTTGCCTTGACCCTGATTTAAGGTTGGAAAGAAGATACAAAGCATTATCTCTATAATCCTGGCATGAGATTGGTACATGATGATCGCCAATACATATTTGTGGGATGGTTGCTTGTGAGGGGATGCCTCACATGACAGTGCATGTGAGGGGTAGGTCCTAGAGGTGAGTGGTTCCTTGTCCAGTCCTGTGCTTAGAGCCTTCCACAAAGTGAAACATTCTTAAAGGCACAGTATTTTGCCTTGAGACAGTGATGGTGGCATGTTGATGGTGAATCATAGCAGGTAGCTGACTAAAATAAAATATCATGGGTGATGAGGACAGTCAGGTAGGTTGAAGATTTCTAAAACAAGCTTCTGTTCTCTGTTCTCCTATCTTCTATCTTGGTGTCTGTAACTTTTAACCACCTCTCCTTCTGGTATATGATGAAAGGCTAAAGATGCTAAAAAGCTAAATGAGGTTGCCTGTTCCTTCAACCATTTGCACCAGCTAAGGAGTTCATGGGTATTCCCTGAAGTTGGTCCTTATACTCTAGTTACCTGTCATAAGAGTCAGTGATGTGTATGAGGTAGGGTAGTATTAATACTCAGAAGAAACAAAGTAGATCTCAGTTCACTGGTTTTTAACTGTACTCTGCGAAGTCATGTACCCACAACCATTGGAATTCATCTAATGTCAATCTAAAATAACACTGAGTTGCTTATTTGTTGTCTTATTAAATACGTAATTTGTAGATTCTTTCATCAAATGTCTATCAAACACTTGTTATGTGCCATGCATTATGCTAGACTCAGGAAATACAGATGGAACTAAGACTCAGTATTTTGCTCATGGGTAAAGAAAAAGAAGGGACAGATGGTTAAAATACTCTGGGATAATGCAATTACAAAGAGCAAGCTAGAGGATAAAGAAGAAGGGTGGGGGTGAGCGGTTTGTGAGGACTTTTTAGAAGTTTTATTTGAGCTGGTTCTTCAAGGCACACAAGAATGTATAAAAACATTGACCCATAAAAAAAAGCATTTGTGATTGAGRAAAAATTAGATTTGTGTTTAGCATGCTTATAAAGGAGAGTGCAGGCATGGTTGTAGAGGAACCAGAAAAGAGACTGAAAGAGTAGATTGACATCAATCTGTTAGAACTCTAGTGTTGCTTGTTAAAGAGATCTCTTAAATAGATTTCATGAAATGTTTATTTTATAAGATATTAATAGTTGTTACATTAAAATGTTTTCCATGGTCAAATAAATTTAGAAATGATGAATTAAATAGTTGGCAGTTTTCTTCATTGCAAGACTTCTTGTAGCCCTGAAGATATGAAAGGTAACACATTTGAAATTCTAAAAGAAGCTATTCTAGTATGCAATATGTCCCTTGCTTAAACCCCTTTCTTTCATGGGAAATATTGTGGGATTACTGTTCCAGGAAATGTTGGGAAATTCTACCTAGGCCCATGGCAGTAATATGAATAGATGTGGGTATAGGAGTATCACCAGTCAAAGAGATGCTAGAAAGACRGGCTGGGTCACCTGTGGTCAGCTTTTTGAAATGTTCCTTGAGGGCCTCCAGATCATAATCTATGAATCCTCAGCTCCCTTTGCCTAGAATAGGATCAGGAAGAAACTTCCTTTGGAATCCCTCTTAGAATTAGTCTAGGTAGCCAGGATTGTTTGGCATGGTTGAGGTTTTTTTTTTTTTTTTTTTTTTTTTTAGAGAAAATTATCTATGTAAATAAAGATACCTTTTTCTTACACACACACACACACACACACACACACACACACACATTCTGAATTTTGGGTTCATCCCAGTAAGTAATGTGGCCTCCTGGCTTCCTCTGTCAATCTAAACTCCACCTCTCTGCTTATGCCAGAGTGCCTATTGCCCAAAGGTTCTGTGATGGTTATGCAATAGGTGTGCCTGCTTCTTCTTCCGTCAGAAACTACACTTAACTTCATTGCTAGGGCAGAGTAAATAGATCCAGATATTTCTGAGTTATTTGGACAGGGACTTGGAGGACCTGGAGGATCCTTATACCAGGGCAGTCCAGTTAGCGTCACTGCCTTTTCACTGCTTCTGAAGATATCACATTCCAATTTGAAGCATAAAACAATGTAGATATGTTCAGGGATAGTCCTGGTGACAAGGTTCCTTAAACCCAGTGGCAGCTCAATGAAAACAGCATTAGAGGACATGCTCCAACATCCTGCGACTGAAACTTTCTATAGTCAAAATTGATTTAATTTTCCAAACTTCCTTCTTAAGAAAATTTTTTTCTTTTTTCTTTTTTTTAGTTGTAGATGGACACAATATCTTTATTTTATTTATTTATTTTTATGTAGTGCTGAGGATCGTACCCAGTGCCTCACGCATGTGAGGCAAGTGCTCTCTACCACTGAGCTACAACCCCAGCCCCAAGACAAATTTCTTTTTAAACTGTTTCTGACATGCCAGAAATAAAAGGGGAAAATATGTTTATTATTACTAACAAATGTAGAATATAGTCTCAGAAGAATTTGGCAAATAAATCTACTTATCTAATGTCCTTAAATTGATAACTTGAAAGCTAGTCGCTCTTCAAAGCAATGTGAAATTTTTCAAATCATTGATATTAGATAATATGAAAAACAACAGATATGTTGACTCTTTAAATTCATACATTATGTGTTAAACATCAGTGGTTCTATAGAAAATAAGGCTTTTTGCTATTATAAAAAACCCTCTTCACCAGGCTTGGTAGCACAAACCTGTAATCCCAGTGGCTTGGGAGGCTGAGGCAGGAGGATCACAAGTTCAAAGTCAGCCTCAGCAACTTAGTGAGGCCCTAAACAACTTAGTGAGACCCTGTCACAAAACATAAAAAAAAAAAAAGGACTGAGTATGCAGCTAGGTATGTAAACACCCTTGGGTTCAGTCCCTGGTACAAAAAACAAACAAAAAACAAAAACAAAAAAAAAAAAAAAAAACTTCTTCCATAAAAAAGTAGAGCTACATGATAAGCCTGGAGTGTTTATGACCCCATATACCCTGTTAATCTTTTTGGTTAATGAAAGGAGAATTGTGTGTGTGTGTGTGTGTGTGTGTGTGTGTGTGTGTGTGTGTGTGTGGATGATACAAACTTGAGTTTATCCTGGACAAGCAAAGTAAATTATGAGATTCTGTCACAAACCCTTTTCAGTGAGGGTATTTAGAGTAATACTACCTTTTCTCTAGGCCACCTTTGGTATCATTTAAATAGCTTTGTGTATGCTATATTAAAACATTATAGAGTACACCAGATTGAAACATTATTAGGTCACACCAATAGCCATAAAAATAAGGAAAGACCAAAACAACAAAACAAAATAATCTCTCTGAAAATAAATAGTCTAATTCACATTTTGGACATGGCGCAATTAAATCAGATGAATTATAAAATATATAAGGAACTTTCTTATATTTCAGAAAGTTATAGTGTATTTGGATTATCCATTTTTCCTTAAAAAAGAAATAGTTGGGTTGCTTCAGACCTTTGAAAAGAACTAGATTTTTCATTTGACCAAATCCATGCAGATTTGGGTCACTTGACTCTTATAAACAGCTGAAAAGATTTGCATCTAGATGTAATGCAGCAGTTTAATATAATTAGCCTTAGGGTATTTTTTAATACCAAAGATAATTATGTTTTAGAAAAGTCCACTGGCTCCAATTCTTAAATTGAGCTAGAATTGCTAATCTGTTAATTGTAAGAGGAAACACTGAACAATTAAACTGTGGTATGAAGAKGTGCATAACAGTCAAAACAAGTTATTCCTAGTTTTTGAAAAGAATGTTTACAAAATATTAATATATAACTTGTTGATAGTAGGACTGTTACACTGTGCCAGTCATGGTGGTGCACACCTGTAATCCCAGGGATTAGGGAGACTGAGGCAGAAGGGTCACAAATTCAAGTCCGGCCCAGGCAACTTAGTAAGACCTTGTCTCAAAATAAAAAAGGCTGGGGGTAGCTCAGTAGCAGAGTTACCCTGGGCTCCCTTCCAAGTACTGCAATAATAATAATAATGCTATTATTTCAATGTAATTTGCTTTCTCTCTGATGTTGCTTCACGCATGTGTCTCAGTTGTTTCCTAAATATGGTTTCAGTTTTGATAGCTGAAACAAAAGTAAAGAAGAACAAAGCAATAATCAAAAAACAACATAAAAAAAACCACCAAGGCTATATAAATAGCTAAATGTTAGGTTGAATGTAAGAAGCAAATTAAAAAAGCTTGAGTTTTTCCACCAATTGTTTTGTTTTATGAAAAACTCAAACCATCTCTCTCTCTCTTTAGAAGACTTTAAACTAGACATGGTTAGGAAAATTCAGAATATTTTGTTTTGTAATGTAGACAAACATATCTGAAATATATACTTTTTTAAATAGAAATACTGACTAATGAGAATAAAGAGTACCTGTTAATTCTTGTTTCTCCTTTTAGCGGAAGTACAAAGTGAAATTGAAAGAATCTTTGAGTTGGCAAGATCTTTGCAATTGGTTGTTCTTGATGCAGACACCATCAATCACCCAGCACAACTTATAAAGACTTCCTTAGCACCAATTATTGTTCATGTAAAAGTCTCATCTCCAAAGGTAATCAATCGGCTCATTTCAGTCTTGAGGATTAGCACATTTCTTTTGAGATATTTTTTTTGTCTGTGTTTTGTTGTTGTTGTTGTTATTAGTGGGCAAGAAGAATATTGAGATTCTTTTTGATGAGCCCATTTTAAAACAGTCTCTAGGTTCTAGGAATTTTGAAATAGCAAATAAAGAAGAGTCCATTCTTATAAGATGTTCATTGGTCTCAAACCAGACAGTTATGCAAGTATATAATAKAAATTTTTAAAAAATTTAAGAAAGGTCAGAAGAAGTAGACTCTGGCTTTTCCTAGACTACAGGTTCTATCTTGGTAAATTGTTTGTATAACATTGATTCTTGGATCACCTATATTTTCTTCCCAGTTGACAGAATACTTAGTTCAAGAAAGATAACGATATTTATACTACACTTATCATATTAAAGGTAAAATATCATTGGATGAACATTTCTTATGGAAATGTCATAGCCTAGACACTTGTGCGAAGGTTGGGTTCTTTGAGGAATACATTATTCCATTATGAGTAGTCTGATTAATATGAAATTAAACTAGAATTTCCTATGAATTACTTATGACAAAAGAAACAAGTATGTAAACAACTGTGATATTTATCTGACATAAAGGTGGTGAATCAAAATATTACTCAACTGAATAAAATCAAAATATTACCGAACATAAGTGACCTGGTACAGAGCAGTTCCTCCACTTTTGTATGACTCTCTTTGAAATTTCCAGGAAATTATAAAATACAGAGTGGGGACCCAAGGGCCCTCCAAGACCTCACACAGAGGTAGAACAGCGTGAACACACATGAATCAATCCACTATAYTGAAAGCCACTGCAAATGGGTGACATCATTACAGAGTGTGTAGAGTATATGATTTCTCACATTGCATTTCCTCTTTACTAATCCTTAAGGCTAAACAGACTAAAAAAAGATCCCGTTTTATTTGATTTTCTTTCAATTCATTGATAAGAGCTCGGCTCCTGTCTTCTCTTAGGTTTTACAGCGATTGATTAAATCTAGAGGAAAATCTCAAAGTAAACACTTGAATGTTCAACTAGTAGCAGCTGATAAACTTGCACAGTGTCCTCCTGTAAGTATGACCATTTTTTTCCCTTAATCATTCTTGACTAGTTAGAAAAGGTTGGTTCTTGTTCATATTAGCGTTGTTATTTTTATTCTGTGATAATGGTGATGACGTATGTTTAAAATCTAAAGGATCTTGTGGAACCAGCTGCTACTGTCTTGTTGATTGTGCTCAGATTTCCAGAACTAGATGGTGTCTAGTTAATAAGACCTGAACCTTGGTCTGATACCTGCTTTCCTTCCTGATCCCTTGATTTCCTGGCAAACACTCAGGAAACCACTTAGCGTGTAGCATCCAGTCACGTGGACACTTTCAAGCAAAGAACAGAATAAAATAAAGCATGCCAACTTGACTTTCCTTTAACTTTTTCTGATAGAAGGTTCTGGTAGGATTAAAAAAAATTATGATGTTAAAGGTCAAGAATTGATAAGAACTAGAGGAGTCCTGTGGTTGTAGCAGATGAAAGGGTCAGAATTGAGTGAAATAAAAAAACTACAGTAAATTAACTTTTCTCCTAGTGCCATTGCCAGAAAACAAATGCTGGGTTCAAAGGCAAACAATGATGGGGTGAGGATCAGAAGTGAATGGTATCACCTGGCACTGAGTCATGGCCAGTCCATGTCACCACTTGCTCAATTGACCTCCTGTTTCTATGACTTTTCTCTAAAGGAAATAACAGTCTCTTTTGGTCAACTGATTCACTGGCTTTTTTATATTCTTGTGCAAAGACCATTTATGCTTTTAAAGCATAAAATTAAATTCAAATGTTTAGAGAGGCAACACAGCATCACTTTTTAAAGCAGACTCTGGAGCCAGATGCTTAAGTTCAAATCCATACTGACTAGTTACGTAATCTTAGGCAAGTACCTGCCTCATGAGGTTATTGTAAGAATTCAGTGAGTGAATATGTGGAACAGCTCTTAGAACAGCACCTGGTACATAGTTCACACTGTCCAGGTGTTTATGTTGTAATTACCAGGTATACTTTGTGCCATTCGATGTCTGGTTGGTTAGACTTTGTAACAACCCTTGTCTCCCTTGCTCACTCTTGTAACTCACTCACTACATTGTCATAGTGGACTCATCATAATAAATATTTGTTGATTGAATGAATGGAGGTACAGGGACAGGGAGTAATAAAGCATCCTTTCATTAGATACTTGCAATGGCCTGGTGTGTGCTAGATGCTTTACATAGATTGTCAGTAATCCTCAGTTACCTAATAAAATAAGCAATATAATTCCCATTTTACAATTGAGTCAATTGAAAACAGAGGGGTTCAAGGATTTCTCTAAGGTCACATAGCAAATTAGAATTACATCTAGATCTTTCTGGTTCCAAAGCCACTTTATTCTCCTCCTAACCCTACCTACCCTACACACAAATATGCACACACCTGGCTACCTACAATGCAGATAATTTGGGTATCTTGAAGCATAGAATTCTGTGTTAAGAACACAGAATTGCTTACTAATGAAGTCACTTTCACAGTAGAATGAGTGATTAAAACACTGAATGAATATAAAAGAATGTATTACAGAGCCCCTGACTCGGTAATCCTTCACAGTTGAAGGGAGAGTATCTTTATTGACCAGCTCAAAGGCCAGAACCATGCTATTATTTCCATTTTTTTTTTCCCCTGAACAATCTTAGAAGGTTGGTTATCAATTTGGTGTTCTGGGAAGTGGATACTCAAATGGAAATAGAAGTGCAGAAGATTTATTGTAGAAAATCCCTTTTCTTTTTATGAGAATGAGTTTATTAATATTTATTCTTGATAGTTACTAGAGAAAATACTTGTGTGCTATTAAAATTGAGGTGTTTTGCTGAGAGAGTTGATCATTGAGTTGTTCATCTAGTATAACTTGTTATGTCTGAAATAGCTGGAACCAAGAGAAGGCATGTGCATACTTAATACCGTGTGCTTCTTCAGGACTTGTTCCCCCACCAAGGGAAACAAATGGCACTCAAATGGCTCTTGGAAGACAGCCTTGTCCTATTATTATCTTAGTGGTACAAACACCTTCTTGTTTAATATAATTGGTCAGATAACTTGGMATTTTAAACAAAGCGGTCTGAGTATGTAAGGTTACCTTATACTTAACATTTTCTAAACATTTGATGTTGCATAAATAGCATGTATAATGCTGAGAAGGAATTGTGCACTCTGTTTTGGCACACACAAAGAAATCTTCAGCTTATAAAAACCAATAGCAATTTAAAAATGTGTCTGCATTTGTCCTTTTACTTCAAGACCATAATTATAATTGTCATCCAAAGATTGGTGATCACTGTGTCATTTTAGTTCCTTTAGGAGAATTTGCAACTTGCTTAATTGGCCCCTGCTTCTCCAGTCTGAAAAGTCAGCAGATTTTACTGGCAGAGTTTCACATTGCAAAGAAATTAAAGGCAGCAGTTTTTGGAAAGGGAAGTCTAAAAGAGCACAGGGGGGAAAAAAGTTAACTCTCTGTAGCCAGAAGAATGGATTCTAGATTCAGGGACTATTGAAGCAGAAAAAAGAACTTACAGAGAACCCAGTAGAGTGTTTCCTAGGGTGTGTTCTTTAAGATACGGGTTCTCTGTGATGATATCAGGTGGTTTTGGAAATGGACTATGATGCCAAAAGTGTTTGGAAAAAAAAAACTTTTGTAACAAAGATGGTTTTCTTTCTTTGCTGCAGAATCCGGACTATGCATTTTCTGTTTCCAATAGGATAGGTAGTATGTGGTGCTTCTGCTGGTGTGACTGTAGAGCTGTTTTTCCATGGATCATTCTATGGTCTAGTGTTTCGCAGAATGTTTCAAGGGAAGACTAATCCAGTCCAGTCTCCTTGTTTTATAAATGAGGTAACTGAGACTGAGAGAGGTGACCTGGCTTTCCAAAGGTCATACATCTTGGCCAAAGTTACATAAGATCTCTGATGCTTAGGTTGGTGATACTTTAGATGGTGAATGGCAATAAAGTAGTTATTATATATTCTCCTGGAAAGAAAATCATGGATTTTGTGGATAAGGCTTCTTCTAAGAGATGGATCAGTAAACTTTTTTAGCAAAGGTTTAGATAATAAGTATTTTAAGCTTTGTGGGCCATATGGTCTTTGAACAACTAACCAGCTCTGCCTTTGAGTAGCCGTAGGCAATATGTAAACAAATGGGAGGGCTTGTGCCCCAAACAAGTTTGGTGGAAGCARGAGGCAGGCCTTATTTACCTCGCCAAAAGAAGTTGCCACCCTTGTCCTGGCACAGGTTGTGGTTATCTATTACTGTGCAGTAAGCTCCTCTAAAACTTTGTGACTTCAAACAGCAGCCATTGGTAGTCTTCAGCTGGCTGCTGACCTAGTCACCCAGCAGAGGTGGCTAGAAGGTGGGAGTCAGTCAGCTCCTCTCCCTCTGCCACTTGTCCTGGGCTCTCTCTGTAGCATCCCTTCCACAGGGATGTGGGCTGCTCACATCATAGCTTCCAGGGCTCCAGAACAAGTATTCCAAATCTCTTAAGACTTGATGTCAGATACCAGCACAGGATCCCTTCCCCAGCATTCTGTTCATCAAAATAGTTTTACAAAGACTGCCAAGATTCAAGGAGAGGGGACATAGACCTCCATTCAATGCAGGAGATGTCAAAGAGCTTATGGCCATTTTTAATCTTCTATAGACTAAGATGAACTGTGATGATGTCTGGAATACACAAGGAAAAGGGGCCTGTGGGGCCAGGACCCACAAGCCCATCTCATACATTTTTCTTTTCATATGATCAGCCTGATTTGTTTTACCACTATACATCTATATGGTATACTTAGTTTTTATATGGGCTTCTACCAGATATTGGTACCATTTACCTTCTTCAGAGAGGTTGAGAATAGTATGTTTTAAGAAGACCAATTTCAGATTGCCCTGGTACTATGGTAATAAGAGCTGCATAATGCATGGTGAGAAAAGCAGATAGACAATTGAATATATAAATGACATGTAATCCTTTAATCCTACTTAGTTACAAGCTGCCTTGTGTTACCAAAAGCTGACCCCGTGGCTCTTTGAGCTTTGTAATGGTTGTGTGTGTGTGTATGTGTGTGTGTGTGTGTGTGTGTGTGTGTGTGTGTGTGTAAAATGACATTGATCATTCTCTCTGTGAGACTCATCTCCTCAGCGGAATCTTGTAAACCTCTCGTGTTACAGTAACCATAGTAGTTCTCTTCTATTCCATTTTATTTTCCATTGCTGAATGGACTCAGATTTATTCTATTACACACAAGAGCTCTGAAGGGAATGAAGAAATGATAGTGCCCACTATATTGGATCATATTTCTTGCATAGTAGTAATTTTCCAGTGCCCTTTTCCAGTAATCTTATTTAAATTAGTTGGAATCATGCAGATTCAGTCATCTATTTGAGGTGCCAGCTCCTACTGGTGCATTCACTATTATAGAGTGTCTGAATGTCCAGAATTTAATTCCTAACACTGCTTTTTAAAAAAGGAATAATCCATTTCATATTTTCTTTATGAAACAAGGCCAYGTGGGATCCAATTTCTCTCAGTCCAAAGAAGACTACATCTTTTCGAGGGTTTCAGGCACCCAACTTGGATGTAGAGAGTTCAGGATAGTTCATTCCCTCAAATGCTATGATATTACTGATCGATGTGAATAATGGGTGTCTTTTCTGCAAACAGTAAAACTGGCCAATGTTGCAATAGTCTCTGAAGAATAAAACAAGATGGGATGGAAGAATGTGGGGAGGAAAGCACGTTGGGGTTCATAACTAGAACTAATTTGGATTCATAACAAATAAAGAGGAGGAAGGGATCAAAGTCACCACGTTCTTTGCTTTCATGTTACCCACACCAATTAATGGCAGGAACTACAATTGTCTTTCCTGTTTAGCTCATTAAAGTAGAAACTACCTGAGATGAMCTGCTAGAGCCCCACAACTTTGGTTTTCTTTTATCTCCATAAGACCTGGATCTTTATAAATGCTTTAACTTAGAGTCTAGTTTCCTATCACAAGTTGACCAGTAAGTTTAGTACTCAAGACTTCAAAAGCATTAATAAAGAAAAAATGCAGGTTTGACATGAAACAAACATTGGTGCCACTCAGTCATTTTATTGTACTAAATASTATTTGCCACTCATTTGTTCTAAATGGTAGCAGTTTCAGTCCTTATGTTACAGTAACAAAGAAATGAAAACATGCAGATCCCTATTATATCCTTCTATCCACTTAGAAATAGGAAAGATGTCCCATGTGAGGTTCTATCTATGTACAGCAAATAAACATAAAGCTRTGCATGTACCATAAGAGTTGACATATATTTTAATTCCCTGTCTAGCTAATATGCAATAATGAACCAAATTTTTTATGAACCAACTTTTTAAAAGCTAAAATTAAACTGCATAATTAGTTTCTAAGTTTTGTAAACTTTTTATTGAAACATTCAATAACAACTTCCTGTATAAAAATATTTGACAAGATACATTCATTTTAATGAGACTACCCCCCCCCAGGCTAGAAACTGGATTTTATATAGTTGTAAAGGAAGATCTACCCAGTCCCTCTATCTTCCCTCCAAAAAGAATTTAAATAAATAGAATTTGCACTGTTCCTCGGTGTAGGACTTAAAAAGAACTACAACTTCTATTAAAATTGGGGTGACCAAACATTACAATTTGCTCAGTGTGGGCCAGGTTTTAATAGTGATAGTCCCCCATCTCCAGAAATAATCCCTAGTATACCAGGATGGCTGGTTGCCTTAACTCAGATAGTTTCCCYAGGAAAGACTGCCACATCTTACTCTCTGAATGAAGAACTAGACAGAGGGTTAAATACTTGCAATTTTTAAAAAATATTACAAATCTTCTTTGTTTTCTTATTATTCAGCTTCAGTCTTTCTTTCCCTTTCTTTCTTCCCTGCCATTGTAGTTCTCTAGGCCACCAGATGAGCTAGAGGCATGTTTTGATCTTGGTTATTTACAATGCTTTAGTTTTTAATTTTCCTGAAAGAGGTTATCCAGAGAAGGAGCTACTGTGCCTGAATTTTTGATGGTTTGTTTTGATTCCTCTGTTCATTATTTATTTATTTTGGCAGCCAAACCATTTCCGCCTACTCCAGCTGTAGAAAATATCCCATCCTAGAATGTCAGAAGTAATCACTGTAGCAACTCTTTGAAAACAACTCCACATTACCTTTATCTTCAGCTGTCACCAAGGGCATGGTGTCACTGAGTGGGTAACTGTTTACCTCCTGGGATCTTGCTGATTAAATATTTTTTTGCATCCCTAGCCCACACTATGGATCTCACATATTGCAAAATTAGGTGCTGATTAGATGTGAGCCTTTAAATTTGTAAAGAATTGGGGGAATGGAAGGACAGCAGAATAAAGATATTATTATTGCAGTGGGTATATACGTGACTGCATGACCAATGTAATTCTGCAACTTGTACACTCAGAAAAATGAGAAATTATATCCCATCTGATTCAAATGTATGATATGTCAAGATCATTGTACTGACATGTGTAACTAATTAAAACAAAAAAATTTGTAAAGAATTGGCAAAGCTGGTATGCATAAGTCATTGGGTTGCTTCTCCTTGAATGTGTGTGTGTGTGTGTGTGTGTGTGTGTGTGTGTTTTATTCCCTTTATACTGACTTTCTAGCACTCTAGTCTGTTCAGCTGTGTTATTTCCTAAACAGAAAGAAAAATTGTCACAGATATGCAGGCTGTGAAATTCCTTCTAGTTGGAAATAAGGTACATATGTCAGTATTCATTCAGAAGCTGAAATTTGCTTTTTTTTTCTGTGCTTTTGAAAGCATAAAAGCAGTTTCAAATCATTTTCCATCGTATAACTGTCTTTTAGCAGTGCAAAAGCATGGTTTGCAAGAAATGATCGGGCTTAAGCAAACAGCCATGTGCTGATGTATACAGAGTCTACCCATTGGCAAAGAAAAATATTTTTTAAAAATTCTGGTAATTAAATGTGTGTTTAAATACGTCTACAACAGTGACAATGTAGCATGTAAATAGCCAGGCAGATGTCAACCTCCCCCAAGCAGCACTGTGCAATCCTGGCTGTCATTGTCAGGACCCTTCCAGGTCCCTGAAGGTTGTTGTTGTTATATTATTATTATTATTATTATTATTATTATTGACCTTGTTAAAACAAGAAAATGATTCACTGTAACTAACCAAACCCACATTATAGTGTAAGATTTATGTAATCAAATTTTATAGTAAGTATAAATAAAATGATACAAACAGCAGGCTCTAATCACATGCAGCATAGAATTTGTGAAATGCTGGAGCCCACAGTAGCTGAGGGGCCCTTTGTTTGGTGCTGCCAGTTTCCTCTTTCTTCCTCCAGTGCCATCTGCGTTCACGGATGTTTTTAGGGTATAGCCATTCTGCTCCCCCTCAGGTCAACACTGCACTGCCACTGTTTTTATCAGAGCATTATGGGCACTTCTTGGATTCTACATTTGGCACTATGGAAAGTTTATATTAACCGGGGAAGGAGGCTTTTGGTGGCAAGAGATTAGAAACTCCCACAGGTTACTTCAGTGAGAAAGGAGATTATGGGAAGGATATATGTCAACTGAAGCACTAGGAACTGGCTCCTTTCCCTGTCTGATGGGCCACATGGTGTCTTTCTTTTATTGTAACTCTGCTTTTCTTTATGTTTTGTTTTCTTCCCTCGACAGATAGAATTCTTTAACTTACTTATAATTTCCCTTTCTTCCAAAGCTTCATTTTTATAAGTCTCTCTGGGCCTCCTTCTAAATCCAAAAACTTTAAGCTTACAGCCCCGAACATTATTGTTCTCTATATTGTTCTGAACTAAAGTCCCAGTGTGACATAGATTATTATGAGCTTTAATACTTGTCTCTCTCACAAGACTTTATGCTTCTTGAGCATAGGATAAGGTGCTTTCTTTGCCACTGTAAATCTACAGTGCCTAGCATTAAATATGTACTGAATAAATATTTTAAAAATGAATAGAATATAACATTTAGAAATTCCACTAGTAACTGCTCTTGGGGGGCATTTTTCTACATGAATTGAATTGGCTGAGTCTTCTTAAATATGCATCAATTTGAACTGAAGTTACTTATTATTTTTCTACTTCTACTCCAAAGACCTTCAAATAGCTTTCCAATTTAGAGGGGAGTTTTTCAGTAAAGGTGGATATAATGGAAAACTGAAATAGTAAGTGTGGGTGCAGTGAAGCACAGTGAGCAGGTGCTTAGCATGCCTGAGTTTCTGGGTTTGATCCCAAGCATCAAAACTAACTGACTAAATGAATAAATAGTAAAAGTTGCGGTGATGGTGGGAAAGAGTTTCTATGGTGACTTCTGCTTCAAGGAGCTCTGTTCTAAGCACTGAAGAGAATGAACCAACGGAGCTTGGTTGTCAACTTTTTATATTCTAATTGCTATTAAGGGTCAATCCATCCAGTGATGTTGGTGCTATGACAGTAACCCTGTATTTGATTCATTACTGGAAGGTTCTTATTTTAGTAAAATGAGCTCATAAAAGCAGGTAGATAGTGGTGGAGGTGGTGTGAGAGAGAAGATGTATCAATCCTGCTACTGAAAGTTAGATCCACCACCACAGTGGGTATATATGTGACTGCATGACCAATGTAATTCTGCAACTTGTACACTCAGAAAAATGAGAAATTATATCCCATCTGCTTTTATGTCATGTACTAACACCTGCGGGGAGGTGCCAAGGTTTTCTGGCTGACTCTCCATGGGATCTATCCTGGGTGTATCCTGTCCATGTTCCTAGCCACACTAGACTAACAGAAGGGCCACTCTTCTCCTGTTGGAGTAGAAGAACAACTTCCTGCTTACAGGGCAGATGCTGAGCAAAGTCCTTGCTGACAGAAACATGTACCCCAAATACTTCCTGTATAAACACCTCTTACTCTGGTTAAACACCCTGTTCTTTTTTACATTTGTAACAATCTTATGGTAGCAGCAATCACTCTAATGTGATTTTCTAGCATTAATCCTGCTTTGTTTCCTTGTTTTTTTTTTTTTATCATGAGGCAAGTAACATCATTTCCCCAAACATTGTGAAAATTAAGTAAATGGTGTTCCCTTCAACACTGTTACCTTGGGAGATGAAATGTTTATTCCAATGATAATGTCACTACCCAAAACATTTTTAGAATTCCTCTTTCAGTGCTGTTAACTTGCTTCTTTTGTATTCTGGCATAGAATTCAGTTACAGAGGAATGTGGGGGGAATGTGAATTCATTATACACTTTCACTTATYGCCTATACAATTGTCATATTAACCTCATCTTTTTCTTTTAAAACAATGAAAGATATGAATATTTAATGAGTACTCTTATTTTTCTGTAAATATCTACATTTGCATGTGGATAACTGCAACTGTATTTACCAGATTTTAACTTTAGAAACTGCTAATTTATGTTCTCAAATTTGATGTTAGCATCGAGATTTGAGAAATGCTATTATCTGCCTTAAGGCGTATTTTAGGTTTCATTGCCTAAAACCTAACTTTTGGAATACAGTGGATTTTCTTGTCACCTACAGGAAATGTTCGATGTTATATTGGATGAGAACCAGCTTGAGGATGCTTGTGAACATCTAGGAGAGTACCTTGAGGCGTACTGGCGAGCCACCCACACGACCAGCAGCACCCCCATGACCCCGCTGCTGGGGAGGAATTTGGGCTCCACAGCACTCTCACCATATCCCACGGCAATTTCTGGGTTACAGGTATTGCCCCTTGTACTTTTACTACCTCATTACTAAGATTCTATAGAGAAGTCCATTAAATAGAAGACTTAGGGTTGTCCTTGATCTGAAGAGGAAAACATAGGGGCCCTTTATATAAAGAAAATATAAACTATTACCTAATCATGTTCCATCCTACAGCAGGTTACCCAGAAACCCTTTCTAGAGACTTTCTTGCTGTGAATTTATAATGAATCAATCCCTGATCATTCAGTGTCTACTCAGTGCAGCTGCCCATGGCTTCTCCGTGGCACTTTTTAATGATTATAGGACAGTGCAAATCTCAGCTACCATAGCTAGATAAATAAGATATTTGGGGACAGATAGGGCTTTTGATTGCCCTTAACTTTTTCCACCCCTGAGGTTGCTAGAYGTGTCCTTTACTTTGCAAAAGACAGAATGTGAATGTGAGTAGAACTCCTCTGTTTGGAAATGGTGACAGGTCTCTGAGTTTTCTTGGAGGGGTCCGGGAGTCCACCTTGTTCGGTGGCTATGGAAAGTGTCCTTTAGAGAAGCTAGGAAAGAGCACAGGACCAGGAGCTTCTCGCTTCCGCTGTTCTCATGCTGTACTCTGAACTAGATATAGGGAGCCAGAGGCATTATGATACAAAATGACTCTTTCCCTTTCTACATTAATTATTATTTACCATTTATCAAGCAGCTGCTGGAATATGACCAAACCCCCAGCTGACTGAGGAACATGTAGTCAATTGAGCCCTCTTTCATCATGACTAGTTTTGTTTTAATGGGTTATAATGATAGTCATAATTGTAGATCATGTAGAGTTAACTCTGAGATAAATGGCACTCTCTGAAATGCTATTATAACTGTATTACTCTTCTGCAAAATTTCATCTCTGTAAGCAGAAAATCTGCCATATAAATGAATCACTTTTGAGGCTGGAAATGAACATGGAAATGTATGATGGCAATGTACGGTGTATCTGTATGCATCAGGACTATTTCCTGCCTCGTTTTCCTTCTTGTGTGCTGATGAGAATAGCATTTCCATTGGCTCACTTGAGTCGGCTCTGAATTTTGCATAAATTAGTGGGATGAGGAATGGATGTATGAAACAGTATGCTTCTCTGGTGTAGGAGGAAGTAGAATGTTGTACTTTGTTATGAATGCAACACTCTTGAATTGTCATCCCTAACACACCCACCTASAGTAGTTTTCCCAGTTTCCTTAATGAGTTAATGTGGTGGCTTTTGTCTCAAGGCCTACTTCTCCCAGGAATATAGAGTCTAAATTATTAGACACCTGGCTGAAGTTGATGGCACAGTCTATGACCCACTCAATGAGTTTGGTTCTGTATGAAGCTTCATGTACTTTGGAGAAGATGTGACTGGGCCCATGGTTTTATCAGAATCTTGTTCCTTATCTGAGATGGCCTACCTAAGCTCGTATACACACTGACCCATGGTTCCCATAGAGAGAAAAATATTTGAATAACATTTTATGATCCATCAAATAAGTGACTTAAGATGATACTTTCAATTAATGATATTAGAGAAATTTACTTTCTATCTGAAAATTAGTTTTGCAGGACATTTCAGTTGAGGAAGCAAGATTTATGAAGCATCAATTAGTGGGCTCCATAATTACTATATACTCCTATGGAAAGAATATTGTTGAGATTCTAATGTTTATGTAGGCTTCAGAAACAAATGCACTATTTTATAGATAGCACAAATAATAATTTCATTGAAGTGTTTTTTAGGAAAATTCAGCTAGATCAAGGTGAAGCATATGATTTTAGAAGAAGAAAGATTTTATCAGTTCAAGGGAAAAATAAAATAAATGATGCTATTCTGAACTTTATTTCCCAATAGTAAAATAATCCTCATTTTTGCAGTAGAAGTACAATTATTAGGCCTTTCTAAATATGTTAAATTCTATTTAACAGTCAACTTTCAATTCTGTGTTTTCAATAGGATGCATAGTCATGCAGCACTATGTAATTAAATTCATAAATTATCAGCACTATGGCATCTTTACATGTTGTGTCCTAAATAAATAAAACCAGAGATTTGGGGCAGATCATTTGTGCATCAAAATATTTTATCAAGTCAGATATCTCGCTTCTCATTAGACAGATCCTATTATTGTACATTCATTTACATGTTTAGGTGAATGAAGCTGACATTATTTAATCAGTGAACTATCTGATATTTTAGAGTCAGCGAATGAGGCACAGCAACCACTCCACAGAGAACTCTCCGATTGAAAGACGAAGTCTAATGACCTCTGATGAAAATTATCACAATGAGAGAGCTCGGAAGAGTAGAAACCGCTTGTCTTCCAGTTCCCAGCACAGCCGAGATCATTACCCTCTTGTGGAAGAAGATTACCCTGACTCATACCAGGACACTTACAAACCTCACAGGAACCGAGGCTCACCTGGGGGATACAGCCATGACTCCCGGCATAGGCTTTGAGGCTGCCAAAACAAACAAACAAAAAATATGTATTCATCTGTTGACAATTTGCCATAGCACTGCTAGGATAAACCAATCATCTTAACTTGGCAAGCACAGCACAGTATTTACTGTGCTTATGGGCTGCTGTCATTTGATGCTAAGGGGCAAAAAACAACAACAAAAATGTACATTATGCCCTTGAGTCTAGATGGATATTAGATGCCCAATCATATAGATATTTTAAGTGCTACATWTACATAACAGTACCTTTTGTTTTCTTCATAGATTTAAACACATCAATTTGTAATTTAGGGTACTTAACAAGGCACATATAAAATAATTTCCCATGCTGGAAATTCCAAATGACCAGTTCCAGTTGGAACCAATTTATAAACCAATTCCTGTTGGAATTTGGGTGAATTGACTAGAAAGTCTACTTGAGCATGTTGCAATCAATTGAAATCTTGGGGAAAAAAACTAATAAGAAAATCAAAGTATCAATAGAAGCCAAAACTAGCTATTTATTTGCTGGAAGCTAAATTTACACTTAAAAGTTGGAATGTATAAACATTTTAATATATGTTAATGTTGCCAGAATGGCTTTTCAAACTTACCAAATGTATTGATAGTGCCAAAAAAAAAACTCAAATCTCAATGCAGAAATTATATAGTCGCCTCAGATTTTAATATTTTTATTTCTTTGCTGGCACAGCTGTTGTATTCAAAGTGTTTTGCTTTCTGTTCAGTCAATACTGTTAGCTCGTTTGAACTTGGCAAAAAAAAAAAAAAAAATTGGCAGAGAGAAAGAACAGTAAAGAGAAGCCCAAGCATAGCTGATTATAAGAAATGGGAAATGAGATGTTGTTTCTTTAATCAGTTTGAGCACAACTACATACATCCAGGAAACTGAAGTCACACCAAGAATGTGGTATAGATCCTCCTGAGTACAAAGCTTAACAACTCCAGGTGGGAGATCAGCTATCCCACTTAATACAAACACGGGGTAGCGTAGTTAAGTATCTTTCTATCGCATCACTCGGTCTATGTCTTTGAATACCTAAATATTCTAGCCCTTCACCAAATGTTTTAAATCATGCTAAGGATTTTTTTTTCCATGACACATTCAAATTAGGTATTGGAAGTTAGCTTTTTACAAATTGGAAAAGTTAAAACAAATGATAAATTCAAAAGCTTGCAAACGCATAGATGCAGAATATATGCACTATAATTACAACATTTTTAATGCAAAGAATTATGAAGAATTTGGAGATTGAGATACCTTACTTCTAGTGAGAATTTTTAATCACTCATTAATTATTCAGTTTTTACAGTAACTATAATTATAGAATTGGTGACAAATGTCTTCTATTATCAAGGAAGACTTAGGTTCCCTATGATCCAAAAAGTTGTGGAAATTGACCCTTTTATACAAGACAAAATGTCTTATCAAAGACTCCTGTTTCTAAAATTCCAAAAATGTATGCATTTTCTCAAACCTGATAGGAACCAAGCATGAAATCCTTTTCTACTTGTACGTTATAAAGACTATTTTTGAAAACAAGAATAATTAATTTTATATTATTTTATTTTCCCCAAGTTTTTCAATATTTAGACTCTCAAAGCATGCACCAGTTCAATAATTTTTCCTGATCAAGAAAATAAGTGTCCCAGGGTGCAGTGGCGCATGCCTATAATCCCAGCAGCTCTGGAGGCTGAGGCAGGAGGATAGCAAGTTCAAAGCCAGCCTCAGCAATTTAGTGAGGTGCTAAGTAACTCAGTGAGACCCTGCCTCTAAGTAAAATAGGGCTAGGGATGTGGCTCAGTGGTTGAGTGCCCCTGAGTTCAATCCCCAGCAACACCCCCCCCCAAGAAAAAAGAAAAGTTTCACATTCTTGATTAGTTACCCTCATCTTGAACCTCATTGCCGTCTCATCCTGCAGTCTCCCTTCACGTTCACTGCGTGTGCCCCATTATGAACCTGTTTAGCTGATAATGAGGATGCCTATAATTCTGTAAGTCATTCACACATTTGATACAATTAAACATGGGCTCAGTAAATTTTAAAAGTTAACGTGACACTGGCTTGTGAAGTTCTTTTGTCATCTAGCAAAGCTTACAGAACTTTCAGTTAAGACATTTAAGAGAGCTATCTCCATTAGGCTCTTAAAAATATATATATATATATAACCTGCCATTACTAAATACTTTGTTAGAACATAGAAGAGCATTTTCCAGCAAACAAAAATATATTTATTACATGTACAGCACATATTTGCATGAGAAAGAAAACATTAGCCAAACATTTTTCTATATGCTTTACTGGTTTCTTGTTTGTGCGCATTAAAGTATTTAATTGCAAAGAGTGCACCAAGGTGTATAAATTTAGATTAGAMAGCTGTTCAGCTTTTTCTGTAGTAGCATTAGCAATTTGGTCATTTAACTACTTTAAGATATTTACATTTTATGGCAGGTAGCTGTAACAGCGTTTACATATATTTCCTAGTCAACAAGATCACCATTTTCTTTCAACTTTTAAAAAGTCACTTAGTTTTAAAGGTCTCTCAAAGCCTTGTTTCTAGACTTMCATGTCATGCTGAAAAAGAGGGAGGCCCATTCAGTATCCGTGTACAAATTCAATCCATCATTTACCATCAGATGTCCATACCGTTTTGCTTTGCATTCTTATTCAAACGCTAACAATCTTGGAAAGGGTATAATGTATATTTTTCTTAATGGATATATTTAAAATTTCACTTTAACTTGACATTTCAAATTCCTTCTGTAGTAAGTTTATTTCCTCCAAATGAATAAGAAATATGCATCYTCCTTTTATTACAAAGTGGTTTGTTTCTGTGTAAATGATACTAAAATCCAGATATTGACTAAGTGAAAAGTTTTATTTTTGTCAAGCACACTAAGCACCTTTGGAATAGATGTATTCCACAAATACTTTGTTTTTCATTGATTTTATTTAAAGTAGCAAATTATCACAAGTAGGAGAAACAAGTCTTATAATATTTGGGGGCTGTTTTAACTTACAGTATAAAATACCTGTTAGAATTCTGTCACTTCAGTCAGCAGACATGTAACAATGAAGACTCATGGGACAATGTGGAAATGTAGTCCTAGACAAAAAAAAAAAAAAAAGGAATGCAAGTTGTCAATCCTGATGTTAATTCTCAAGGCTATAATGTGACTCTAATATTATAATCAACAATATTATCTCATTTACTGCAATATTTAAAGCAACACTTAGAAATGTTTATAAATGACTAATGTTTCTCTCTTATCTTTATACAGTTCTATTGGAAGAAAGGTTGAAATTCTTAACAATTGAGACTAATGGTCTTTCCTAATAAGAGAGTCTTAATGTTGTGACTATACAGGTCATTGCATTTAGTCCTTAATGAAATGAATTTTTAAAATGTGAAACAAATTATGAGACAATTATTTGTTCCCTTTAAATAATGTTATTTACTCTAATTATTATTGTTGTTGTTTGCAAAATGTATTTTTGGAATGTTAACCTCTTTTCATACCTGCATACTTGAACTTGTCTTTTGTGTGGGGGCCTTAAAATTCATAATATAAAGTGGGGGTAATGAAAGAGAGTACGAGAAGAAAATTATGGCAAAAGATAGTTTGCAAATTTAAATTCTTTAAATGAACATATCACAAAATATTTTTGCAACCCAGGATGTCAGTTAAGAATGTTTTTAGGTAACCTTAATTTGCATGCTGGCATATTTTCTTAAGTTGTACAGTTTTATTTTGGTATTTGCTAAAAAACAAAACATAATGCCACTGTAGAATTTGCCCTCTATATTGATATTTATATACTACCTCTTCTCTAGAGAAGACAGTCGGTCTTAAAAGGGAAATAACTTGTCAAAAACCAGTGATCAAATTTCTTACTATTACTGCTAACCTTGCTGAAAGCTAATTGCATAAAGTGTTAAAATTTGCCTTCCCTTTAGATTTTAAACTGATGATTTTATCCCAAATGCTGCATGTTTCCATAATGCTCTTGTCATCCTTCATTTCTTCCATATTAGTGAAGTTTTCTTTGAATTGGTTCACAGATTATCCTGAAGTATGGTTAATTTGGTTAATTTAACAAATGAATCATAATAGGGAACAAAACAAACTGCAAAGTAATTTATCTTTGTGTACAACATGTTATGATATCTAGCTCTTAAGTTTAAAAGAGAGTAGTTCCAAAGACTTGATGTTTAAATGCAGCTGTTTTGCAAATTCAAATTTTTGTCTTTTGAGAACACCAAGAACATGACTTAACCAATTACTGGGTAAGGGTATGCATTATCTTGGACTCCCATGTAATTGGAACAAATTTCATATCAGTGTTTCAAATAAATACATATGTATTCCTTAGTCCTTTTATATTTCTGCCTTTGTCTCTCATGACAATGTTGCATGCTGGTTTTCTTTTAATTATATAAAACTCATCCTTGAATGACTATATGAATGAAAACTTTATAGGAAATTATGTAATAAAATCTGTTTTTTTAGTTCCTTATAACTTTAATGTCATACTGTAACTGTTCCTAAGTTACTTACTTAAGCTGTGTCTATGCAGCAGAGAACAGTCCTCCTCTTTTCAATGATAATCATGATCAAATCAATCAATACAATAGACAACAAAAACAACTTTTTTTCTTTGAATTAAGCTGTCAAATTAGTCAAAATAGTGAAATTGGTTTATAGGGGCAGACAGAGCTACAGCATTAAAAAAATTACTTTTTAAAGTTTTCTTCTTTTATTAGAAGGGGTTCTCCAATGAAATACATCCTCTGATAGCAATTGTCTCTAACTACTTATGGATAATTTAATTTCAAATGCTGCATGTAATTTAGCTATGAGAAGATTCGAAGGTATCTCATCAGATATTATAATTAAGGGCTGTAACTCCTACATGAAAAATGTATAAATATAAGTGAAGAGCACTGAGTTTTGGGGAGTCATAGTTTCATATGACACTTTCTTTTGTTTCTTTTGATGGATGTAAAATGTTTGCAGAAAGATGGTAGAAAATGATACTGATGGATTTAAAGTGGTTTGGGGTATACACTGATACTTCCTCAATTGAAAATGATAAGGAGTTAAAATGAGAACTAAGAACCAAAAGTGGCTGGCCTCTAGCTTTTCAATATTTTCTAAGTGTTCTTGGTTATGTTTTGAACACTTAAAATTTCTCAACCAATGGCTATGTCTATGTTTATGTAGGGGCCTCTCTTGCCCTACTTGCATGCCACTTTCACACACTTAACTGAAATCAGTGTGAATTCTGTATGCATAAGGGATGTATTAAAGATGCGGGATCATTAATGCTATATTGTTGCATACTATTTTTCATATGCCTTACAATATTTTCTGGGACGTTATTAAAATGAAAGCATTTTATTGCCAAAATAAATCTATGTTGTTACTTCTGCAATAGCAGTAGAAAAATAAATAATGTAGCAAAAATATATATTGTACAGTACAAAATTATAAAATATATATATATATTTTGCCAATAATATGAAAATAGATTGAGGAGAAAGAAGCACATTTGTTATAGCACAAACTTACAACAAAATCCACTGTTAAATTTGGCAGTCCTATTTTTTAAAAGTAAATAGATTTAGTTATATGTTTCATCTACCATCTTTTTAACTTGCTGCTTGATACCTTTCCAGCAATTTATTTCATAGCCTTGCAATCTGTGGTTGTAATTTATTTTATTCCTTTCCATAAAACTTATTAAATTTTATTTTGTGATAAGACTCATACTATATTTTCTGTTCTTATTTCTTCTCCTTCAATAACAACTACAAAATGTCACAGCAAGTGAGCTCTCAGGGCTCCTCTGAATTTTGGACATGTTTGAAATTGTTTTTTTTTTTTCACAGCCTCAAGTTAGAATGATCAACCAAGATGTCCCAATGCAAAAATATTAGTTAGGGATTCCTTGATTTATTTTGTACTGGATACTAGTTTGAAATATAAGTTAAAGCCATTAGCTTTGTTTTGGAAGGGATGGGGGAGGGAATAAAAATAAAGTTATTAATATAAAACATTAAAAATGAAAATGGCAAAACAATCCAGAAAGTTTTCCCCTGCTATTCTGAGGCCTGTTGAATATCCCTGACTATTGCTATATCTCCAGTGATAAAGTGGGGAAAAAATGCCTTTGTTAAATAATTTTTTTCTTTCTTTAAATTTTAGTTATTTATATTGATGATTTAACCCCTTTTATTTTTCTGATATAGGTATGTGTAGCATTCTACAAGGCATGCTGGGTAAAATATACTATGCAAATGTGTACAGTGCTGCATGTTTTTGTTCTCCCTCTGCTTTAGTGGCTTCAAAGAAAAAAAAATGTGGTGTTATTTTTGTGAACAAGACATTTAACAAAGAAAATGCAGAGTGCATGCATACAGTATCCTAATTTCTATGGATTTGTTTTATGGAATTTAAATGTGTACAAAACAATTGCATTAATTTTTTTTCTTTTATATAATAAATGAAAAAACACTGAAACCAGCTTTATATCTCTCCTTTATATTATTCTATAGATATATTGAAGAAATACTGGAAATCACTGGGTATAATTATATACCTTTTATAGGTAAAATTAAAAATCTAAACAGTTACTTTAAAAAAAAACTCAAATTAATTGACTGTTTTCCTGAACATTCTGCTAGGTTCTATGAGTGAATCACAAAAGAAGTACTATTGGTAAAGAATTTGTAAGTTAAATACACATGAAACAGAATTATATTAGAATAAATGCATGAAATAGAATTGAATATAATATAGAAAAATATACTGCATGAAAATTTTTGTTCACAAGATACCCCTAAATGAGTAATGTAGTAGTTCTCAAAAGTTTCCAAAGCTATCCCATACCTGTAAGAATTCCATGGATAGTATATAGATTATTACTTGACATTTTATGTACTCAGGGTCATTTGTCTATGCTGTGAATTGATTGGAACTTAACTTTTCAGAAAAAAAAAGTTATTTTTCAAGATGTTCAAAAGAAATAGATACTCTGTTGATTAATATACAGTGATTTATTACAGCCAAGTTATTTCACAAACATTATCAATTTAATCCCTCTCACCACCCCAGAAAGTAGTTTACTAGACACAACTATGAATGAAGAAACCAAAACTCATTGTAACTTTTTTCTTTGAAATATTTTCAGTTAAAACTTCATTTATTAAATGCCTTTACGCTGCTCATCTAATAAATGTTGGCTGAATGAACAGTTTCTCAGTTATTGGAGAGACATTATATAAGGCTACCTCAACTATCAAAACATTTCAACCAACAATCTGAAACTCCCAAATGGAGGAATTACAGTTGCTCACATCAAATGGCCATGAGCCTGAAGCCACCTCTCGTCATCAGCACATTTCTACTAAGCAAATGGACTGCCAGAAGAAACATCTTGTTTGTTCTCTCATATGACACACAGATTAGTGTAGTGGTTAGAGTGTGGACTTCAACCCTTGCCTGGACTCAAAGCCTAGATCCAGCTGTTTGGGGCAATCACTGGACTTCTCTATACCTGGATCTGTTTCTATAGAGTTTTGATTATGGTCACATTTTTCTGTTTTCTTACATGTCCAATAAGTTTTTATTGATGAAATATAATATTTCAATATTACAATATTGTAAATTTTACATGTTGATGACTTGATCTGTATTCCTTTTAAGAATGATGGACTTGTTTGACAGGCAACTTGTATGACAGTTTAGCCTTTTTCGGGTTCCTTTGGAACTGGTTTAAAGGAGAATTTTTTCTTAGGCTAATTTAGTTCTTCTTCTAAGGTCTCTGGGGGTGTCTATTGAATGTCCTATATATCAATGGGTTCTCCCAGGCTGAAGGGAACTCAAATGATTTCTGGTTCATTCTAATCTCTGGGAACAATTTGTTTTACAGCTCCCACTTACTTGTTTTTTCCCACAGAAATTGTTATTGGCCAGCCTCCTGGTGTTCCAAACTACACAAGTATAGACTGATGTGTTGCTAAAGGTTGACTGGTCTCCTATGCCTGTTTCTGGAGTTTTTCTCTGCATAGCTTCCTTTCAGTTACTCGATTTCACAAATTCTAGCCCCCCTGATCTCTGGGAAGGTTTATCTGTGTCTTTAAGAGATTATCCTACTTTTGGGGGAGGGGGGTGTCTACTGCCTCTGCAGCTGTCTGTGAATTGCTTTCAGGCAGAAAGTCCAAGCAATGGTAAAACTCATTGTTTCTCTTTTGGTCACAGTTCAGCACTGTGTCTTTTCCAGTATCTGAAAACAGTTGTTTCCTGTATTGTGTCAAGTGTTTAATTTGTTAATAGTAGGGGATCAATCTGGATCATCCCATTCTCTGATGGCTTGCAGCAGAAATCTCTCCAATGACATTTTACACATTACTATAATTAGTCTTTAAAAGGTCTCAGAGTATTCTGCTTTTACATATAGCTTCACACCACTCACCAAAGATTCCAAATTACATCTATAGTGATTCCATATTTGTATCTCACCTATGGAACATATAGTTAGACAAGATTTTATTAAGTATATTCATTACTTCTTTCTTTGAAAGACACTTAGAAAATAATCAGAAAGGTTATCTTCTTAATAAACTTAAGCACTGTGACATACTATTGTAATCCCAGCCACTCTGGAGACTGAGGTAGGAGGATCACAAGGTTGAAAACAGCCTCAGCAACTTAGCAAGATTCTGTCTCAAAAAAGTGCCAGGGATGCAGTACATGATTGAATGGCCCTAAATTCAATCCTACTATCCTTCCCCACAAAAAAAGAAAAGAAAAAAAAAACTAGCTTCACAGGTTAATGTGAGCATTTAATAAATTGACAGAGATGTGTGGAAGTTTGTAAAATGTCTCAGGAGTTGCCAGGGCATTACCTATAATGTGTAATAATGGAAATGTTGATTATGCAAATAATATTGCTTTCCTAAATAACCTATGGAGTACTTTCTTAAGTAAATTTAAATTCAGACAAAACCATTCATAAATTACTTATGGATTACTCTAAAGATTTTTTTCCCCTTCACATATGTCTCCTCTATAGTTTACTTTTTAATATGGCCTCCAAAAGAAGTCAAAATAAATTTTCTATATATTGAGAGAAGATAGTGCTTGGCTAGAAGTCAGGTGGAAAGGTGGAATTTATTGTTGATTTTGCTTAATTGCATTTGGATTTTGGAGATGGAAGGCAAAATGCTTTTTACAACTCTCCCATCTTTTTCAATCTCTAGTTTTTAAAGCCAAAGTTAAGGAGAATAGAAAAGGATGATGCTGTTTCTGGATTATTTGTGAAAGAAAAGAAGCAAACAATCCAGTTTCTTTTTCTCACCCTTTACCTCTAACAAGAGTCAGGACTGACTTATCACACTCATCAGGTGACCCAGAACCGAACAAGGGCTTCTGAGATCAATCTGGAGATATGTGTATGTGTGTACACATCCCTAGAGATGTCAAGTAACTTGTCTATGTAGAACATAGAACACGTGGAACAAGAACTCTGATATATCAAGTTACTTAATGATTTACTTATATTGTAGTTTTCAACTAAATATCCCAAAGTAGAGGGCTTTGTATAGTGTGACACTCACATAGCATAGGACACAGCTGTTCAGAATGTGCAAGGAAGAAGATCAGAGAGAATACTTGGCCATATATTTCATAGGAAGGAAACGCCTGGAATTATAACTGGAAAGGATATTTGGGTTCATCCTGCAGAGAACAATATCTGTCTCAAGTGTTTGAACTCTTCCGCTCAGACTGCTTTTGAGGCCACTAAAAGTTTTTAAACAGGGGAGTGGAGGGAGATGAAAGAGGAAAGAACCCTGAGGTGCAGAGATGAGTAAAGAGAAGCCCACTGTCAAGATAAGGTCATTGATTTCAGCTGGTATCCAGGGACAAGAAATTCGAAATAGAAAGCTCTTAAGTTTCCTTCAAAGGCCCTCTGGAACTCGGAATCACCAGGACCAAGACGTGGGGCTTTGGGTACGTAGGACTGGAGATAGACACAAATTACATGTTTGCATCATGACTCTATGGAAGATATTCAGGGAGAACATAAAACCTGTTGAGAACGCAACCGCCAGCAATCAGAGCCATCTGACTCAACCCGCAGCCCGCAACCCGCACAGACTGGATCCAGAGGCATAGGCCAGCAGTTTTCAGATAACTTCGTTCAACAAATAAGCAAGGACTAGGCTGGCGCCCATCCCCAGGCTCCGCCCCTCTGGCCGCGCGCCTGCGCACTCTCGGCACGCCCTCTCCGCCTCTTCACCTCCCCCGCCCGCGTGGTCGCCTCCACCGCAGCCGTCCGAGAGGAGCTGGGGGAGGACGGTGGCCCGCGAGGCTCGTCGCAGACAACGCGGCGGCGATGTCCGCGAGCCAGGCGAGTGCCGCGGCGGCAGCGGCGGGGCCTCGCGCACGGCAGGGCGGTCTGGGTTTTGGCCTCCCCCCGGTTCCCTGGAAGCGGGCCGGTGGCCAGTGCGGGAACGGCAGCAGCAGCAGAGGCGGAGGCTTCAGTGCGTCTCTCTACCCTTTAGCCTGAGCCAAGAGAGGCCAGGCAGCCCGGGTGGCTGGAGGGGGTCCGCTGCCCGAGAATGGGAATTCTCTTCACCAGGATATGGAGACTGTTCAATCACCAGGGTGAGGCGGCTCGGGCCGCGGGCGTACGGGTTGGGGAGAGGGTCAGTCCTGGCCGGGTGGGTGGTGGGGTTTGCGAATACTTGRTAGTGTGGGCGGCGCGGTCGGGCGCTGTCTCTGCGCGGGTGCGAGCTGCGCGGCTGCGGGCCTGGGACCGTTCAGTCCCCTCCTCGCGAGTTTGGGGATGGTTCCCGACTCGCAGCCCTTTGTCTTTGGGGAGTTTCCTAAGAAGTCCATTAAGCAGTACACCCATTGCTCCGATTTCGATTGAGGGTAGAAGAGGTTTCTTGCCCCAGGTCTGATTTGTGTGAGAGGCACGGCCTGGCCCGGTCTCTTTCGGCCCTTTCCTGTGCCAGCAGTTAGGATTGGAGATGAGAAGAAATACTGGGGTCTTCTGAGATGAAGGTTGTAGTTTATGGTCCTAGCCGCACTACTGAGCGACCTCGGGTTGCAGAATGCAGAAAACGTGAGGAATTGCTCTTGACTTTCCCTGTACACTTAGGGTTTAAGAACCTTAACTTCACCCTCAACCCCCTCTGTGGGGAGGAGGGCTAAAGACTTAGGCCTCCTAAAAGTGATAGACTTTTCTCCGTTTACCTTATTTATACATCTGTTTAAGGTTAAACTTAAGGTCATTGTTATACTTGTGTGGGTTATTAGAGTTTTTTTTCTTTTTTTCTTCTAAGGTTGGGTGTTTCAGTGAAAGCTTTAAAAAACATACCATATGAAACGTTTGTTGAGGGTAGGAAACTAGCAAGTTACTAAGTATAGAGTGTATTGTATAGGGATGCTTAAAGTTCATCAGAACATCAGCATTGTCTTGAAATGCATAGCAGGTTTATTAAAATTTGTTATTTTAAAATGGGTGTGGAAAAGGATACAGTTTTAACAAAAAAAAGACTCCATGGTTATTAAGATGCAGTGTTTATTTTTTTTTTTAAACTCAAGTTAGGTGTTTCATCATTCCTGCTGTCAATAACTTAATTTATGTTTTTCTCTTGTATAAGGTAGTGGTGTTATTACATCCCAAAGTTTTCCAGTTAAAACCTAAAATGAATGGTATCATCTATTACACAGGCCCACTGCTGCCTCCTTCCCCTTCATAATGGAACTCATCTTGTAAATAGAGGGAAGGGACTGGACCTTGTGGTCTCTCTACTGTTACCTTAAAAAAAAAAAAAATAGTGTAGAGCACATGATTCTAAATGTAATGGAAGGTGACATGGGGATTTTTCACAAAGTGGAGAAAACTAGTTCTAATTAGCACTCTCTCTGACTGGTTGTTGTGTGATGGGAGAGTGAAAACCAGTCACTTAAACTCTTGGCGCAGGTGTTCTTAACCTGCAACACCAGGAATTTGTGCTGCCTACTTGAAAACTTAATCTCTAGATTTAATGTATTTACATTATTGTAAAACCAGTGATGTTTATCATAGATAAGATCTAGTTTTAACATCCATAATTTTGAATTATTTTTAATGAAGCTAGTGTTTCAATTCTGGAATGAGGCTTATAAAAACTTTTCTTGTTAATTGAGCTCTGATACAGCCAGAAAAATAGATAACTGCACTCTATTTTGAGTCTGCAATAAAAATTTGCTTCTATAGTTTAATGAAATTAGATGTTTGCCAACAGATACTTGCTAGTAGTAAACAATAATATGTGCATGGGTACCACTCCAGATCACTATTAGTAGTTTTATTCTTATAAGCTGTATCCTGTGATAATTGGATGGACATTTTTCTTGGTGTTGGGAAATTAATAGTAAGGAAATAATGGAGTCAAGTTCTAAAAAGTTGCATCTCAATATTGTGAAAGTGAATAAATTGTTTCTTTTCTGTTAAACACTGGTTGTGTTTTCAATAGTCACTTTTCAGAATATTCCCAACTCAGTCTAATGCTAGATACTTGTTGGTTTTTTGGTTCTGTCCTAAATTGGACATATGTAAATCAGATATATCTTAGGTGCATTATTTTACCTACAGAAGAGTTAGGACATGATCCTAAGTTCTTTTCACAGAAATTCTTGGAAAGAAGGTTTTGGGGGGGGGGGGTTGCAGAATTTGCTGTGCTGATGAAACTTAAACTGTGACAGATCTCTTTTTTGAAATCCTTTCAGAACAGCTTTTTTTAGTTAAAGCTTAGATTTAGTGCACAGTGAAAGCAAATTGCATACTGCTCAAAAGAAAAACTATAGGTTACATTTAGGTGATACTTAGATTCAGTGGAGTACAAACTTTATTCTCTGTTCTGTTACTTTTACATTATTTTTTATTTTAAAAAAAGTTTCAGTGGTCCTTTGAAGTAATTATTTATTTCCCCTGAAAAGAGGAAACTGAGGCTCACGCGGAGTCATTTCCCCAGACTATATATCTGTTATATGACAGAACCCAGCAACTTGAAACACCAAAGAAATGTGTTACTAATTATTATTGTCCATCTTTAAAAAAGAGATTCACATCATTATTTTCCTATTTTTCACCCTTATTAACGGTCTCTCAGTTGCTAAACTATAAATCTCTAGGATTTTGAAGAGTTGCAATTTGTGATTTTTCATATGAATAGTAGTTTACTAAACATATTTTTGAGCATCTGTTTGGGTCAGGACCTGTGCTGAGTCATAGGAATTAGAACAAAGCCAGCTAACAAATTTTCCTGCCTTTATGGAGCTTCTTTATASTATAGGGAGATGGAAAATAAACTTACTTCATCTCTAAAGATAAAATAAAAGCAGTTAACATTTACTGACTTTTGCAAGGCTACATTCTCAGTGTTTCATACAGGTTGGTTGATTTAATCTGCACCTGGTTGATTTTTCTTCCTATCCTACAGAGGCAACTCTGTTTTACAGTTTTTTTGTTTTGTTTTTTAGATTTTTGTTGTTTTGTTTTTGTTTTTGCAGTGCCAGGGCCTCACACATGCTAGGCAGGTGCTTTAAACTAAGCTACATTCCCCATCCTCTTAAGTGGTTTTCATAAAGTACTATAATTCAAAGTGATGAACCTGGGATTTTAACTAAGGTTTTCTATTGCTAGAGTTAGTGCTCTTAAAGACACACACAAACACCTTTTTTTGTATAAGAAGGACTCACGTTAAATAAAAGGAGGAACTCTTGACACTTACGTGAACTATGAAAGATGTTTTGGAATTTCCCCATTGGTGTCTTGTGTTGCTTTTCTGATTGGTTGTTAGAAAAGGAATTATATTACAAATGAGTGCTGGAAAAGCTGCCTATGTTGCACAAACCTGACTTTGATAAAGCGAATTCTGCTTCTTTTTTTTTAAAATTTATTTAACAAATTCAAACATATGTAGGTTAATACATGTAGTAGCTAAGTAGCCAAGGAGTCAACTATACCATTTTCAATATATTACCTCTTAGCTCTGAGTGAACCCTTTTTCGTACTATGTAGAAGTGGACCTGGGTCCTTTAAATAGTTCTCTTTTGTCAGTTGGCACAGTGTTAAACTTTGTTGATAGACAGCACTGGAGGGACATTTGCAGAAAGAAAGGGGTTTTCTTCATGGTTACAGTGTGCTCTCAAAAAGTCTTTTCAACACAAATACCCTCACTAGTGCCTGCCTGACTCTTGCACTACATAGTGGTTGGCAGCAGTCAGCAGTTTTCGTTAGCACCCTCCACACCCCTCAGCTTTGTCCTCCAGAGAAGTACCTTCTATTAAAAATTTTCCCCAGCACCCCTGGATGGAGGATTTCCAGCACTCACTGGGGCAACTTCTCTGCCATTCATTGATCCATAGCTATGCCGTCAGACAAGGTCTTTATCTTAGTCTCAAGAGGGATGGAGGAGCTCCGTCTCAGCTATAGGTGGAGTGGAATCTTCTTACATTTGTCATTCCTGTAATCTTTGTAGCTCTTTTCTTTCTTATTAACCAATCCCTCATTATTCCAATCTCCTGTAACAGTTATTTTCTCTAAACTTTCCAAGTTCAAATTATTGTATGTCTCCTGATTGGATTTCTAATTTTATCATGTATATTCAATTGCTTTTTCTTCAGCAACCTCTTCGTACAAAAGAAGTGTGTTTTCTCCCTATGAAACTTCATTACTGTTGCTATAAATAGCAAGTTTATTTTTATGTTTGTTTTTTTTATTGATGATACTTTTTAAGTTTTGAAAGTTGAGTTTTTATTACAAAGTGACTGGATCAGATACCTGCCTCCTAATTTATTTGTTCATTCATTGATGATACTTTATTAAGCCCATGCTTTATTCCAGGCTTTGTGCTGTGGAGTGGAAGAACAATAGTGAACATGACAAATAGATTTTGTGCTCTCTAAAGGATATAGAATTAATAAGGCTAAGTAATAATTTGGATATGAAGTGAAAATGAAGAATAATGTATTTTTCTTGGTGTTTGTGATTAGGCAATAGTTCAATTTGTTTTGGTTTTATAAATTAATGACTAGTAATTGGAGAGATACAGACTTCAGCAACTGTAAATAAATGGAACTGATTAGCTGCCTGAGTGTGTCAAAAGGAAATGAAAGAAAAAGTGATACAAGAAAAAATAAGATTATTATTCTTTTCCTGCCATACTGGAGGTTAACCTAGAGAATCACATATGCTAAGTGAATGCTCTACCACTGACCTACATCCCCAGTCCTTTAGAGTATTTTGAGACAAGGTCTCACTAAGTTGTGCAAGCTGGCCTTCAATTTATCAGCCTCTTGCCTTAGCCTCTGAAGTAGCTGGGATTACAGGCATGTGCCACACTACACCAGCAATAAGAAGCGTTTTGTGATAAAATAGTATTTATTGGTAAACTCAAGCCTAAATAATAACTTAGAATTTCATCAAAACATTATAACTATAGTTATTTTGGTTTATTTGCGTAAGTGTAGGAATGCYGTGACATAGATATTCTAAAAGAAAATTTTTACTRGGCAATAAATTTTCGATGATTCCCATGCAGCAAAGAATTAGAACGAGGAAATTTTATTATATTTGTCCATGATAACAATATCTCCTAGTATACATTTTTTATTTTAAGGTTATGTGGAGTATTTGTTTTGAAGGACATTATAACACTTTCTAGCTACAAATATGTTTTGCATAGAATCTTGTGCCATCTTGGTAATGATAAGAACAGGCTGGGATGATTAGAGCCTAAGGATGTTATGAATTTGATTTAGTATTAGGATGAAAGTRTCTATGAATAATTAGCCCCTATCATTAGAAATAACTAGTTTGTCACCAATGAGTTGGTACCTTTTTCTTTGAGCCCATTACACAATTAGGTCTTAATTTTATAGTTCTTATTGTAACCTACATTCTAAATCTTAGATTTAGGAATTTGTTAAAAATAGCCATTGATGTTTTAGTGTAAAAACTCACAAAATTCAAATAGAAATTAGTTTTGGGAGGGGGACAAAAGGAGATGTTGATAATGAATCTGACTTGTAGGTAGGTATGAGGCTGGGGTGAGGAGATGAAGATACTGTGGATCATGAATTCTTCATTGGAATAGTCCTTCAAAGGGTCTTTGACAGTTCTACAGAGTCTCTGGCTCCTTGGAGATTTTCTAAGTTCTGCATGTTTGATTGGAATTTATTCCTTTTTCTTTTTGAAGTATTTTAACCATTATTTTAAACCTCATGTATTCGATTATTTTGCTTATATCACTCTGATTGATTTTAGAAATCTGTTCGAATTTTTGTGTATAGGAATTTGCCAAGTTTGTAAAATTAGATAGGCAGGAGAGAGAGAGTGTCTCTAGATGGAGAGCCATGTTGGCAAAGTTAAATGATTGGAAGTGTATGAGACATTCTGGGGACCGAGTAGACTAGTTAACCAGAAATTTAGTAAAGAGGTCAAAAAAAGAATTAAGAGATTTGGTTAAGACTTTATTCTTTGTTATATTTATTTTTTACTGTGTTTATCTGTTGATCTAACCTCTATTCACTTRTCTACTTTATCTTTCATCATAGTACATAGGCCAAAGGGTATGTAAACTCCAAGGTTTCAGATTTGGGGTATTTCTCCTCCTTTTGTCCATAGCCTTCTCAGTTTACCTGCACTACCCTATCAATCAGCTAAGTAACCCTTTGCCTACTAGGGCTTCTAGTCATTCCTATCCTTGTAGGGTAACACTGAATTTCTTTCCCTACCTACATTCTGTGGCTTGCTGATTTATTAAATTTTCATCACCATCTCTTAACACTCTGTTATTTTCCACCATGTGAGACATGGATTCTCACCCTGTATCATCTACCATACTTTTTCTCCCCAGGATGGCTTAATTTCTCTGCTCTACTAACAGTTAAAACAGCTTGTATCTGTCTTCACCTCAGGTTGTGGTGTCTAATTTCAACCTTTTGATTCTCTAGTTCATTCTGTATAATGACTTAAAAATTGATACATCTTGAACTGTTAACTCCGTCCTTTCCTTGACAGGCAACCGACTTGTGTTACAAGAAGATGAGATTCTTCTGGTATGAGTCTCTTCTGCCATCTGCATTATCTCAGTATCTCTTGAGTTTTTGCAGAGTGGTTTGTTCTGAGCAGTTTTACCTTGCTTATCACATTCAGCATGGGGCCAGGTATGACAAAAAATATTTCTTCAGTTTTTTTTTTTTTTTTTTGTCTAGTTAGTCCTACCTAATAGCTTGGAAAGGCAATAGGTTCCGGTGGAGAGATAAGTCACAGGGGCATGGCTAAGATAAGGAGATCACTTTTTAAAATACCTATACCAAAACCAAATGAGCATTTTTTAACTTTAAAGGGATCGTTTTAAGAGGCTGGATAGTTTTTCCACTGATATATCCTACTGTTATTCAGTGTATCTTTTGAAACTTCTTTTAGAATTTCTTTGGAGACAAATTTTTAAATCCATTCATATTATTCAAAGACTATACCACACTTAAACAATAAAAAAAAATACTTGTTTTAGGTCCCTTTTCCCTTATAACCAAGATGATATCAAGTGACCTTCTCTTTAAAATCAAAAGATTAAAAGAGTTTCAATATTGAGAATATTTAGAATGGTGTACTTCAGGGTCTAAAAACAATTATGAAAGAAAAGTAACAATTTTTTGGAAAAAAAAAGATAACATGATTAAAACAAGTGTCTAATTTCCCTTCAATGATTGCATACACACACACACATACTTATTTCATACTTACAGTTACATATCACAGATTCTTGCATATATTTTTATTGTTTATTTTTGGGTTTGCCCCATTAATTTTGTATTGTTTTTAGGGTACCATTTATTTACTGCTTATCGTAAATGTGTTTTCTTCCAGACAGTTGGTGAATCTATCCATATTTTGTTCTGTAGCTAATACGTTGGGGTATTAGAAAATGTATTCCTAGAACATAATGAACTAAACTGACATTTTGAGACTCCTCTGATTAAAAAACATTATTCAGGTGGGAGACTTTCTGGTTGTATTAATTGTCTAGAGGTGCTTATATTTATAGAAGTGAAGAATAGCTATGTCATGAAAGGAAGATGCTTAATTTGGGGACACAGAAATACACACAACTGAGAGGCAGAATTACCATATAATTTAAAAACTTGCCGGGAAAAAAGGTACCCTATCCAGAGAACTCCATTGTCTGCCCCTAATGCAGGCATGGCCTTGCTGTAAAAATGGATTAATTGATCATCATAGCCCATAACACTCCTTTATTTGGGGTTCYGTGTTCTCCAAATAATCTTTTGGTTTTAATTCAGCTATATTATATGCTTTTCCTCAGGGAGACATGGKTATTAGTGCTTTATTTTGAAAATGTTAAAATAACAAAACCAGAAAACTCAGTAGGGACAAGTTTTGGGAGGGAGTGGATAGAGAAGTTGGTGATGAGTGTGGCTTGTAGCTGTGTTAGGCTAGGGTAAGGAGATAGCACTTGTTAGGTAGTTTTGTTTTGTTTTTGAGATGGGGGTCTTGTTATGTTGCCTAGTCTTGTCTCAAACATATGATCTTCCTGCCTTAGCCTCTAAGTAGCTGGGATTGCAGGTATGTGCCACCACAATAGGCTTATCAGGCAGTTTTAAACATTTGGTTTTATTATATGTTACTCATTTGGCGTTCTTTATATATTATTCACATCTATGAGTTGCCTTCTCTGAATCTGTCTACTGTGGAATAGTAACAGGATTGAGTTTGTTGACCTGGGAGGCCCAAGGCGGCCATACTTTAGGCAAATTCTCCAAAGGAATATGAACTACTAAGATCTCTTAACTTTCCTAAGTGTCTTCTATATATTATTAACCCTTCACTTTTAACAAGTATTACCTTTGTAATTGAGTCTACTCTCAGTTCCTTCACCCTCATTGTCTCTGAACATGAAATAGTCTAGGCCCTGATTCTTAAGAACCTATATAAGGGGACAGTACTCATGTGACTCTTGAGGACCCCGTGGTTCTAAGCTGTGTGCTCTTTAGAGAAATAGGTAACTGGATAAAATGTGATGTATTACATTTTTTTATTTAATTGGTTTTCCTATTTTTATGTAACATGAGTATTGAAATAGCACTAGGAATCCCCCTCTATGCTAAATGGCAACTATTTGTTGCTATTTGAATTGTAAAGATCCCCTTATTCTGAGGTGTTAAAATTATCAGTTTATTATTTATAGAATGAATTTTAATTGATTCAGCATTTATTAAATGCCTACCTTGTGCCAGGAAGAATTGTAGTCATGAGGAATACATGGAATATAAGATGATTAATATGTATTCTGTATAGTTGAAGGGTACCTCATTAAGCTAAGATTAGTGGACATGTAAATAATTATAAGTGCAATGTTAGAGGTATTATTTAAAAATAAAGCAGGAGAAAGTGATTCTTCATGGAAAACTAGAAACTTAAAAGATTAGTAGGAATTCCTCAAATGGAAAATTAGAGTAATCCCAGCATAGAGAGAACCCAAGAGCAGCAGTAAAACTTTATTTGCTATGAACATGTATGCAGAATAGGAGGGTGCTTGAAATTTGGTGTTGATAGCTAATAGAGTAGTAAGAAAAAACTGAAGCCTAGTCAGTTTTCACTGTCTTAATTTATAAGCCTGAAAACTTGTACCTTTTCTCTTTGTCAAAAATAGAGTCATGACGAAAATGGAGAGTGGAATTTTCAGCTCTGTTTTGMAGAAAAATTACTCTGGAAACAATGGGAAGATAAATTAGAGATAACACTACTTAGGGAGGGTTTTAAAGTGAGAGATGGGGAGGATTTCATCTAGGGCAGTGGGAAGGAGACAGGTTGAGGATATATTTTTTGATAAGGAATCAATAGAATTTAGTGACAGATGTTGGGATTGAGGAAAAGACTAAACGTACAGGGCATCTGAATTAATTGTAGCACCATTAAGCAATTTAGTAAGACAGATGTAAAACAGGTTCAGATAGTGGGTTTTGGACATGGGAAATGGTATTGTGTGTGTTGGCTCAGGTAGAGTATAGTTGAAGAGAAATTTGGGAACATAGGTTAGGAATTGTCTCTTGATGATTGTCAGCATTGTATACTGTTTTAATTGTTATACAACCCTGAAGGATGTGTAGTATTTCCCCTATTTTACAATAAAGAAACTTAGAATCAGAGAAATAGTTGCCCAAATAGTTGTTGAAATAATTCCCATGATTTTTCCATATACTTCCATTACCTGTTGGGATTAAAACAAACTACTCCTTAATTTTGTGACTTAAACCAGTGATTTATTATTATTATTTATGTTTCTGAGAATGAGTGACCTCAGCTAGAAAGCTCTTGACTTGGAGACTCTTACTTGGTTGTAATCAGAGGCAACTGGAACTATAAAGTCATCTCAAGGTTCAACCATACTCAATGTACAAATTTGCTTCTTTAATTCATGTGTCTGACATCTCAGCTGGAATGGCTGGAAGAACTGGTGAGGGGAGATCACTGCTGGGGGCTGGCTGGTTATCTCTCTTAATAAGGTCTCACCAAGTGATTAGCCTGATGTTCTTCACTCAACTGCGCATTAGTCTTGGGATTGTTAGGTAGTGTGTGGCTTGCTGGGGGAGGGAGTTGTCTAAAACAGCCAGGTAGCAACTGAAAGGATTTTAATGATCTAGGCCCAGAAGTCATACAGTATCACTTATGCTGCATTCTGTGGATCAAATTGAGTCCCAGGGCCAGTTCAGCTTCTAGAAGAGGAGATAGCCAAGGGCATGACTATCCAGGGACTATCACCCATCTTTGGAGATTAGCTTCCTCCACACACTTTGCTTCTTTGGCAATTATTTATAGATAGCCTGAAAATAGATGAAACTAAGTTGCCTTGCTAGCTTATAAAGAGGGTAGAAGAAGGTATCCTGGGAACACGAATGTTTGAAAGAAGACTCAAAGAAGAGAAACCAATAAGAAACGGGGAGAGAGGACAGCTGTCAAGAGATCAGAAGAAAAGTTAAGAGAGAGTGATGCCATAGAAGCCAACCAGGGGAAGTGGATACTCTCACCATAGCTTCAGGTCCTTAGATTTGGTGTTATAACAGTTTTGTGGTTTCAGTGTACGTATAATTTATAATTACTCATCTTTTGTTTTTCTTTCCATTCACCCCAATTCTCATATACATACTCAATTGAAGCCTAAAGTTTCACAGATACAACTTCTAATGTGAAACACTTATAACTTAAATCTTTTGTAAATTGTCATGATTACATTTGGAATACTTTACTGAGAATAGACTTCCATAGGAGTAGGAGGAACACACAGTGCTTCTGGCTTCCCAGGGAGGWTGTTGGAAAGATGAGAGGTTTCAGTAGAATGAGGAGGATAAGGAAAGTGAGCCACTTCTGCTGGTCTTGGTGGGACCTTTTTTTGAGTTCCAAAAAAGGTATATAGTGCTATGCACTGAAATATACCATAGAAAAAAAGAAGGGTGAAATAGTGTGTGCATGTTGAAATCAGTGGTGTTTTCTTTATTTCAGAGCACAAAGTTATCATTGTTGGATTGGATAATGCAGGAAAAACTACCATCCTTTACCAATTGTAAGTACTACCTTAAAAGATTATTTTGTAATTTCTAGTTAACTTTTTCTTCCTGGGTGATATTCTGTTAATGAATATAATGAAAAAACTGTATGGAATCTAAGTTACTCAGTAAGAAAAAAGATTGTCCATAAATCAGAAGTCAAATTTAAGTAAGTTTTTATAGAAAGCTAGATATTTATATGACATCAAGTGCATTATTTAGTTGTTTTGCACTAAAGCTCTTTTGCTTATAGAAAGTAGAAAAATATTTGTTTATATAGTTTCTTTTAATGATCTATAATAGTCTAGATTATCTCTTGTCTATTTCCAGCCCTATAAATCATTAGCTTTCTCTTGGTATGAACTGGTGGAAAAAGGGTATTTGGGGATAAAATGTAAAAGTTCATGCTGCTTTGTCCCTTGATTAGAAAATTATTCAAACAAGGTAGCCTCTTTACTAATTGTAATATATATAAACTTTTTTTTCCCCAGTTCTATGAATGAAGTTGTACATACATCCCCTACAATAGGAAGTAATGTAGAAGAGATAGTGATTAATAATACACGTTTCCTAATGTGGGATATTGGTGGCCAAGAGTCTCTTCGTTCTTCCTGGAATACTTATTATACTAACACGGAGGTAATGTTTCTTAATATGCTTAAACTTCTATAAAGAGAATGCTTGAGAAACACTTACACTTGAATTCTTATAGTTATAAAGATATAATGACTTTATCTTCCAGTTTGTAATTTCATTTCTTTCTTACTATTTATATTTGGTTAAGTATTGGAAATCCTAGTTAAATGAGAGGGCTTTGGTGGTTTAATCTTAACCAATTTTATTGTGCATTTTCTTTTTCTTTTTTTTTGCATTAAAATATTTTTTTATTGGTTGTTCAAAACATTACAAAGCTCTTGACATATCATATTTCATAAATTAGATTCAAGTGGGTTATGAACTCCCATTTTTACCCCAAATACAGATTGCAGAATCACATCGGTTACACTTCCACATTTTTACATAATGCCATACTAGTAACTGTTGTATTCTGCTACCTTTC